GAGAGAGAGAGAGAGAGAGAGAGAGAGAGAGAGAGAGAGAGAGAGAGTATCTGGGACATCTGTCAGCCTGCAGATGAAGAGTCAATCGCCCCCCCGGTTTGGAGGTGGTTAATGAAGAAGAAAAGGAACAGCTAGGTCCAGTGCCCAACGGGTGGCTGCGCAGAAGGCAGAGAAGGGGAGAGCAGTGGAAAGCCATGGGCTGATCCTGGGGAAGGAAGAGCCACTGCTGCTAACGAGACCCCACCCTAGCTCTGGGAATAATAGGCAGTGGGCAGAGATGAATAGGTGTGGCAAAAAACTATCCATCTTCCTGTTGGACAGACTTGTTAGCCTGTGAGATAAACTTTTTGCCAGGGGTGCCGGCCTTCCTAATAAAGGAATCTTTTGAATTCACATCAGAGGGTTTGTCGTGTTTGTGGACCTGTGTCAGAGCAATACTTTTAGGCCCCTTTAAAAGCCAATATTTGCCATGTTGTGTTTGTAAGTATGGAATACATGCATACATTGTATCTGTTAGGAATATAAGTCATCTAACAGGTATTTGGGTTGGAAATATATATGCCAGGATAGACATTTTAATACTGTATCTTTAAGAAAATGCAAAAAAGTATAATTGGGTGTAGTTTCTCAAACGGCCATAAGATGGAAACAGAAACCTGGTTTGTCTTAGTCTCAGAAGAGAGTGTGAGTAAGTCTCTGTTTCCTTCTGTTGGAGAGTATTGCCATTCCATTTTTCCTAATTCCGTTTTCCTAATTCCTAAATTCTACCTGGATTTGATATAAGTCTGATACTGAACTGTTTTTGACACTGGAATTTGTTATTGGATTATCCCTGGATTGAAAAACTGACTGATTTAACCTGTGAATGACTTTGGACTGCTTGTTTTGAACTTTGTTTGCAAGTTTCTGGAAGTAAAAACCTACATTTACTGTACAGTGTACTACTCTCAAATACGTCTCCATGTATGCGCTCATTCTCCTAACCGGGAATTACCTCAACAGTATCTATGGGAACTATTCTTACCTAAATTTTGGTTAAACCTCTGTGGTGACAGCACTCACCTTTCGTAGGCACTCCAATCCAATTTAAGTAGCGTGTCAATTTTTTTGATATGTAAGTTTTTCCTCTTGCTGGAAGGCCAACCATTACAATCAGAGTAGGACAGTTTGTCATGCATACTATTAAAAAAATGGTACAGTTAGTGTTCATGAAAAACAAGAGCATTAGTCATAGTTCTGAAGACTAAATTAGGAAATAGCTGCATCTTTTTGTGAGAATAATAGCACTCAAGGGAGAGCCTTGTCATTTTGATGAAGTATTCAAAAGAGTGTACTGTTTTTATTAGAAGTTCCCCCAAAGCCACTAGTTCCAGAAATACTTGCAATAAATTTTACATAGTTATTCTGAAATCATCTTTAGAAGCCCATTCACATGTCTCATCTATTCGTGAAGTACTGCATCCCCTTGAATTATTTGTTTTTCCAGAATCCAAGAAACTCCCTGAAGATAGATTCCAGCATGAATCTGAAATCTCGGAAGACAAAACCTCTGGTCCCAGTGACCAAGCCAGATTGGATCCTGCAACATTATGCTGGGGCACGTATATTCACCTTCATTTTTTTAAAATTATTCAAGCCGGCTGCAATATATAATCTGCTTCCTACCTACCATTATTTATCTCCACCAATTACTCTTATGCATTGAACCTGGAAAAAATCTTTAGAAAACAATGCCTAATTTTTTTTTTCAAAATATAGACCAGTAATGAGCAACAGTCATGTTGTAATTCAGTCCTGGCTATGACAAGATATGCCATATATCCAAGCAATTGTTAAAATGGTCAAAAATACTCAAGTTGTTGTGCAAGGCCAGAAAAATCTCACAAAGCATCAGTCATGTTATTTACAATTTTAAAATTGTTTTTTAAAAAATAGAACTCAATAACTGCCATATCATGAAACAATTACAGGCATCAATGTAACAAAAGAACACTATGCTAGTGCAGAGACAATAGAGCGGAGGTAATGATAGAAGTGAACATGAGTTTGAGTGAACTGGTTGAGAGTGGAGGACAGGGAGGCGTGGTATGCTGTGGGCCATGCTGTCACAAAAAGTCAGACATGACTTAGCGACTGAACAACAACCAAAATTACTAAAACTCACTCAAGGGTTGCTTAAGATAGGTATATAAATATATAAATCTTTTCAATAAATAAAAAAGAATATGCTTATATAATAAATATTCTACATTTGTTACCATAGTAAATACTACTCTTGCTTTGTAAAGAGGGTAATATTACCCCTATAGTCAGCTATTCCCCAAAAACTTATGTAAAAATTTAAGAACACTGCAAATCAGACAGTGCTGCCTATTTGCTGACGTTCATAACAAGAGGAAAAAGTAATTGGAAAACATTACTTTTATTAGTCCAAACTTTAGAATCTCTGTTTTTTTTTTAAGGAATCTGGGGCCATATTACAATCAGGAATTATCTGGTTTGTACAAGTTAGCTTGTACTTCATTGGTGAATTCAGTTTCTTTAATTTTCACCATTTCTAGGATGGCTTATGGACAGGGAAAATGAAAGGGGTAGAATGGAAAAATAAAAAAAATATTTTTTCTATCATGATTCACCAATAATGTATTAATGACACTGGTATAGAAGGAACTGTTTGTTTTTTCTAATGCATATCTGAAACAGATACAGCTCCTCCATTAGACCACTAGACTGAGATGGTTTATCTTTAACGAAGCTACGATACTTCTATTGCATTTTTCAGAAAAAACATTCAAATACATAAACACTATAAAAATAAGTAGTAATAGTTCTATAGAATATGGACCAGCAACTTATGACCATGAGGCTACATTTAGCCCCTGATCTAATCAACAATTTAGACTCTATCAAAATATGTTCCCTGGCAAACAACTACCTGGAACAAGTAAAAAAAAAAAGTTATCAAAAAAAGATGGAGAAGATAAATACATCCTCAAAAGGTAACCTATATGTTTTTGGCTTAGATCCCCCTACTATTATGATGCCTCCAAAGAGTATCCAAAAGACAAAAATTAAGTTTCTATTTAATCTAAAACAAGAAAAATATGTATCGCAAACACTAAAACACATCAGAATACCACACAATTCTTTACATTTATATAAACTCATCTTACATAACAATTCAGAACTTTTTTCCCCTTCCCGCACACGCAAACTAATACTGATCAATATTTTATCAAACTCTTTACAAATGAAGCTAACTGTACTATGAAAATTTTATGTAGTGGGATTTCCTTCTTTCTCCTTTCTCTTCAGATCCCCTTCAAAATGATGCACTAAAAGGGGCGTTGGTTCTTACCTGATACGCTTCTTTTCGTAGAGCTGTTGAGAGTGTCCAGGTTGGGAGGAGCTCCAGTCTCGGCTCTCACAGGCTGAGCTTGAGATTGAGGCACGCCTCTCACCATCACGTGGTCCTCCGGGCGCGCCCCAGTTTTGCGAAGATGAGAAGGAAGGTCCTGTTCTCATCTTACTCAGGAAAAAAATATTAGTTTGCTCGGTCGAACAGCAGGGTTTCCCACCAGACGGCCTACGGGTGGGGCTGGACACTCTCAACAGCTCTACGAAAAGAAGCGTATCAGGTAAGAACCAACGCCCCTTTTCCATAGAGCTGTCTCGAGTGTCCAGGTTGGGACATACCAAAGCTTGGCTAGTCCTGCGGGCGGGCTCCCATCTGGAATGGGACCTCTCCTGGAACCCTGATGACCCGCTGGAGGGCACGCCCAACAGGAGAACCCCTCGGAGGTTGGAATGCCTCAACGAGAAGGCCTGATGAAGGAGACGGGGCTGTCTAAAGGTAGCCCTGCCGGGGATACCACGGATGCTTACTGAGACCGTGGGGCAAGGAGACTAGGTAGAGCGGCCAAAACCTTGTTAGGGACCCGGTACGAGGAGCCCGGGCAGAGGCGAGGATGGAAGTTCCCCTGAGAAGACCTAGCCAGAGTGAGGGGAGGCGCCCTCAATAACCGGAGGGTCACCGTTGCGAGGGTGGCGATGGGACGCCCTAGGGGGTTATGGGATAGACCCTGTTGGGAACCCCCCTGAGAGAACTCCAGGTCAGAGTGATGGAGGGGAGACGTAAGGAGTTCCCAAACTGTGACCTGTGCTAGTGGGGACCAAGTTTGGTTCCGCCCAGAGCGAGGCGGTCGGCCCTGCTCAAGAGCCAACTGACCGAGGACCGCCCCAGAGGGAACTAAGGGTAGTAGTGAGGACCAGGGCAAGGGGTCCATGTATCTGGATTATGAGGCTGTGGGCCGGGGGCCCAGAGAAGGAACCCCAGCTAACATGGGGTGGGGATAAATGTGTTGCCGGCCAGATGCCCTGGGGCAAGGTGAGGAGGACAAGGGTGCTCCAGACTATGAGCCTGCGTCCGGGAGCCGTATGGTCTACCGGGAGTCTTGGTATGGAGAGGTAAGGCAGATATGAGGATTAGGCTTCCCCAATGGTTTGGGCAAGGCTGAAGAGAAAGAGATTTTGCAGGAGTTAAGTGTCAGAGTGGAGCCAGACTAGGCGAGAAGCCTGAAGAGGATTGGCTTTCTCGCTCTCCTTCTCCTCGTTTTTATACTTGTTTCTTTCTTTCTTTCTTTCTTTTTTTTTGGGGGGGGGGCAGCCACCTGGGGGCGACTGCATTATCGGGAACGACGGAACAAACCTCTCCCGGATCCCCAGGAGGGCTTCCTGGACGAGGTGCCTCCGGACCTGTCTGGTTCCGATCGGTCGGGAGGTGATTGGTAGTACCTGGGGAAGGAAGAAGAGCGGGAAGAACCTTGGCGAGAAGAGGGAGAGGAACCTCTGAAATCAGACCTCCTAGCAAGAGAAGGGAGATATTTGCGCTTGTTGCGGGTCTCGGCCAGGAATGGGTCGAGAACCGGTCCAAATAGCTTCCCCCCAGAGATGGGGGCTGATGCTAGCTTAGCCTTGTTTTTTTACATCCGCCTGCCAGTGGCGGAGCCAGAGAAGGCGACGGGCAGTGACCTGGGACGAGATGGCCCTGGTGGAGAATTTTGCAGCCTGGAAGGTGGCGTCTGCAGAGAACTCGGCCGCGGCCAGGATCTTGGCAATATCCTGGTGCGCTCTGAGATTAGCTGTGGGGACGTGCTGCTTGAGCCACTTGATGGAGGTTCTGGTGAAAAAAGACGCGGCCGTGGAGGCCCTGACCGCCCAGGCATCAGAGAGATGAGCGCGGCGCAGGGCCAGTTCAGCTCGTTTGTCCTCGGGCTGGAGAGCTTCGAGGGACTCGCTGGGAGTTGAGCGGGAGGCCAGACCTACTACGGGCTCGTCCACGGGGGGGGGATCGAGCAAGGTAGAGAACTGCGGTTCAAGATTGAAAAACCGCTTGTCCTGGGCGTTGGGAGGGGGAGGAGGCCCCGAGGAGGCTAGCTGCCTTGAGACCATGTCAGAGAATATGGGTGGGACAGGAATCACTTCGGTTTCCACCGCAGGCTGGGAGAAAATGGAGTCGGGAGGAACCCCCGATGCCGTTGGGTTGGGTGGGGGGGGAGGGTTCAGGCCCGAGGTATTCCTGGCCTTGAACAGGAGGGACCTAAATAGATGTGGTTTAAACAGCCCCAGAAACGCGGGCTGGCCTGGAGAGAGGCCCTCGTCCTCCGACATGTCCCCTTCTGGGGGGCCTGCTCCCGAGAGGAGTTCACTGTCTACGACAGACCCCAATTCGAGATCCTCCTCGTCCCCAAAGAGGGTAGGGTCCCCGAGTTCCTGGGCCTCCATCTCCTCCATCTCCAAGGGCAGGGTCAAGTCCCCGTGGAGAGCTACCTGACCATGCGAAGTTGCTGATCCTCGAGCCTCGGGGGCCTCAGGCCTAGGGGCCAGACCGGTCAGCTGCTGAAACTGTTGTGCTATCCCGTGCCGGATGGCCAGCTCCATCGCTTGTTTGAGATTTTCGGGGATTTCCACCGTGGGGGGTGGGTGAGGCTCCTCCGGGCGCAGACCTGCAGCAGCGGGGGGGAAGGTGGCCTCAGGGGCCTGTCCAGGCTGTGATGAAGAGGCAGAAGCAGGGGAGGAGGGAGGATGGGTGGAGGTAGAGGGAGTGGGATTGGAAGGGTCCAGAGGCACAAAGCTTGACTCCTTAGAGCGTCTGTCAATCTCCTTTTCAAGGGCCCTGT